ACACAGTTGTGATATGGTGTCATGTAGAGTTCATCTTAAAATGAATTTTAAGGGTCTCAGTCAATGCCTATCTTTATATTGCCCTTGTGACATGTTAAATGTATGAATGTGGTCCTTATTTGGTGGAGTGAATAGATTTTACCGCTACCTAGTATCCCACATTTTTATCATCTCTCAATGCCATCCTTATCCATTTTTCCACCTTTTGGTGCTTTGTGTAATTCTTTACAGCACCTCTTTTTCCTCAAGGGAACTATTTTGCTGTATTTTGCATGTGTTCATACCTATAAAGCTCTTGCTTTTACCAGAAGGGGAAACAAAAATGTACTTGGACAGTAGGTGAATCCCTGTGACCTACCCATTGCTCTGTTTTCTCATGAAGTACTTTTTCCATTGAATCACAGAAACAGATGTTCTAACACCACCATGCAAAATCTTCTTTTATCATCTGTCAGAAAAAGGAAAAGAAGCTGCGCCTTAACATTAGTTGATGGATACTGTACCGGTGTAGTACAAAGTTCACTTTCCATCACAAATAATTAAAAACCTATTTAAGGATGCTGCGTATCCCATCGATCTTAGCTGTTTAACAAGATGTTGTCCCCTGTTCTCTCATTTTATAGCTCCAAGTTCTCCTCCAGAATCCCTCTCCGTAAAACAGTTGTCGGGTGTCACTGTGAAGTTGTCATGGAAACCTCCGCTGGAGCCAAATGGAATTATCCTCTATTACACAGTTTACGTCTGGTGAGATTTTCTGGAAGTAGTTCTGAGGATAAATATTAATCTGTAACCTATCAGGAATGTTAGGTTTTTCTTACACAATGTGTTGATTACACATTTTTGGAGAACGAATATTCATCCAGCACTTAAAATACTAGCCTTTTGTATGTACAAATTCAGCTATAATGTACTAGCTGAAAATTGGGGAATTAAATATTTTGTAAGCATTTTCAACATTTTTCTGAAGGTTATGTTATGGTAAATGAATTCAAATTTAAGTTAGAGCTTGGTGACTATTTTCATTGTATTCTGATTAAGCCTATTGTAAGGCAGGGCACAAGCCTATGCTAAATTGCCAAGATTTGAAATAGGCTTAAAATAGAGAAATACTGCTTCCTTTTGCAGAAAGTGTGTAAGAGCAATGTTAAGAGTCTTTGTGTTATAAGTTAGGTCTGCTGTTATATTTTGTATTCATTATGTTCATAGCAAACGAGTATTTTTTTTAACAGATATTTTTCATTTACTCTGTTTGTTTTTTTCTTCTGTTTATTGTTTCTTTTTCCCTAATTTTTTTTTTTTTCCCTGTCATCTCTCCTGGGATCTTTTTTCACCTTTAAAAAGGAGTTTAGTCACTTTAAAACTTGCAGCTTCTGTCCTATTCTCTGCATAACATAGTTTGGTTTAGTGATGTGGCATCTCTGTGTGTATCTACATATAACTTCTACTGGGAGAGAAAAGATTTTGTTGTTGATCACTTTTAATGTATTGCATTTATGCTGCATTATTTTATTGCCACTACTAAGGTGCAGGCAGCAAATGCTAACATGCACCTTATGAGATGTGAACCAGATGTGCAAATCAGCAGAATAAACACTACTAACTGTTGGGCTTACATTTATTATTTTAATGTTACTTGACAGTTTTGGGGTAGGGTTTGGCCTCGGTTCCTATTGATTTTTTTTTTTAAATTATAGCTTCTAAACTTGGTGATAAAGTGAACAGGAATGAGCTTTTTCCAGAAAAGCTGAATTTGGCTTGTCTTGTTACTTCTACTGTATTGGCAAGGTCTGGTGCTCTTTAACGACAAACCCCATTAAATTTAAGACTGTCCTTTAGCTAGGAAAGAGTTACTTTGCAATAAGGATTGTGATTTTGATACAGGCTGTGTTCAAATACTTGGGGTTATACAACTTTTCATCCTTATGTTGCCTTAAAGCTTACTGCTTTTGTTACTATGACAAACGAGTTAGTAAGAATTATTTTTAAAAAACTGTTAATTGACCCATCTTTCTAAAAATTTGAATTAAGCCACCACATAACTTTTTGCAGTACGCCTTGTCCTTTTTCCTTCCATATTTTCCTTGCTCTGTTTTATCTGTCCTTACTGTGCCATGTCTAAAATTAGAGGGGCATCAGGTATCATCTTGAGGCGAGGACATTGGAGAAAAACTCCTGTTGCCTTTACAGGGGCCACAACATCCCTCCTTCCCTGGATTTTTTTTTTTTTTGAGGCGGTGGGGGAGGGGAGGGGAATTTTAAGTATTTAACAGAAGTGTCTATACAATTTCACCCTCACATTGCAGGGTGAGATTTGACAAGGCAAACTGTCATGCCATAGTTGCTCCTTTTGGGAGGCATTCCGTATACTTTGGGGGAGATTGTTAATCCCAGAGCTTCTCAATAAAGCAGAAAGAGGAAGGTTAATACAGATGTTAAATAGATCTTCCTTCTCTTAAATATATTGCAACAGTTATAGAGAATTTAGTAACCTTTCTTTAATGGCTTGGGAACAAGAATCCACAACTACTGGAACAGAGAGGGTAATATCTGTAATGTTTTCATTGTTATGATCTTTCTTGGAGTTTGTCACAGGACAAGGTGGTTTTGGGTGCTAGCAGGTAGCAAAGCAAGTCTCTGCACACCTTGAGTCTACAAACTCATACTTCCTGAGTCTGCAATTCTAGAGTATTAAAGGCATATTAACAAAAATGCTGAACTTGTATATAGCTATTGTCTTTCAGCATTATCCTGTTCAGAAAACTTTTATGAGGTAATTACTGACTAGATCTACTTTGAGGTACAAATTTTTAAGAAAATATGGTCTTTGTCAAGTGGAAGTATGCAATTTCTTATAACATCTTTTGTCTGGGTTTCTGAAAGATGTCATTTAAAACTTATTATTATTGTTCTTCATTAAAATTCCTTGGCTTAGCTTATTCTGTTAGGTACTTTCTTTCTCGGTGTCTGTGAAGACTGCACTCACTTTGATCAGTGTTTTCTTGTTATTTTGTTTGCAATCTCAATTGTTTCTAAACAGAAAATCAACTTTTCTTGAAAGACCCCAAGATTTTGTTCTTCCTAAATATACCTAATTGTGGAAACATTTTTTTGGCAAATAAGATGGTATAAGAATGCAGTTACTCAGAGTAGAAGTGTTTGCAGCACGAAGCTGTAGATTTTCTTCTTACTTAAATTATAACCAGCTATGTTTTTCCATACTAAGAATATATCAGGCAAAGATCCAAGAAAAGATGTCTTTCTTTGTATAGAATTTGATAACTGCAGCTGCAACCTTTTGTATCTCTTTACTGCTTATTTAAAATGTCAGAAGTTTGGGAAAAAATGTAGATGTTCTTAACTTTTTCTGTTACCAAGAGTGTTTCCCATGTCAAGAGACATTCCACTCAAAATCTGAAAGGGATAGGGAGAATTTAGGTTTTTTCATTCTCATACGTTTTCTGATTCCAGTTGTTTGTTAATGTAGCTTTATTTCAGGAGTATCAGATGATAATCTTTGCTAATGGGACATTCATTCACTTATCAAAAGATGAAAATCAGCCCATCTAATAATTTTGAATCAGCCTTTCCTATTTTTGTTAGAATTAGTACTCATTCTCTTGTTTGTGAAGAGCTCTACAGTGACTCCTGGAGCAAGATATTCTGTTTTACTGGTCAAATTATTGTCCCTGTATGAAATCCCATTAAAGACACAGGGCACCCACTCATACAGAAATCTTTGCAGGAATGGAACGTTAGCTAGCTTTTTTTCCTACTTTTTTTTTTTTTCATAAAAGATTAAATTAATTTAATGAGGAATAGCAGACTTTTTGAATTCAAGTTAGTTATTTCTGTATCTTATTTTACTTTCTGATAATCATTTCATACCTATGCTAATACCAGTGTTTTATTAATGTTACATCTTACAGTCTTTCTAGGCGGGTTTTGACCTGACTAGAGTTCCATTCTGATCCCCTGCTACATTCCACCAGAATTAACTCAGCACCAGCTAATTCCTGTTCCATATCATCTTCTATTATTCCATTTATAACTTCAGCCTTCTGACCAATTTCACAGAGTCACAGTAGGGCATGCTCCCTGCTATAATCTTTTTATATTTCGCTATTCCTGTCCAGGGAGACAGTTTAGTTATGCCCTACTGTGTCCTTCCCAAGGGTACCACATAACCATTTGATCGCAGTTACTAGATGGACATGCTCCTCCTTGATATTCCGTATAATCATTGTCTTTGCTGATGTAATTTACAAATATATTTCTGTGGTGTTTTGTTGGTTTTTTGGTTTGTTTTTCTTTTTTAAATCGCAAAATTAAGAGCCCTATTGTGATGCAACAGTACAAAACTGAGCTTTTCAACACAAGAGACAAAAGTTATCCCAGCCTTTTTTTAAAGCCTAAAATACTTGTATTTGCCACAATCATGCATTTTTCAATTTCATATCATGTGCCACAGCTGTATACATACAGAAATGGTGTGTATATTTAATTAATAAAATACTTTTTCTTCAGGAATAAAATGTCAAAAAGGAGTCTTAATGTAACAGAAACATCATTGCAGTTCACAGACCTGGAAAATAACTGTGACTATAGTGCTTACCTAACAGCAAGTACAAGATTTGGAGATGGCAACATAAAAAGTGATACTATAACATTCAGAACTTCCGAGGGAGGTAAGCTTGTGTATAGTATGAATCTTTAATTTCATTCAGCCTTAAATTTCTGTCAGTCTTATTTAAGTTAATAAAGTTACTGAAGTGGCATTTGACTGGTTAAGAAGAGACGTTGTACTTGTCAGTTTGTGTGTGCCTCTGCCTTTGTGCGTACACATATCTATGGCTCTATATAATTATGATAGGCATTTCTGTAAATTTACTGAGCAAAACTTTGCATTTGCCTTCAAGACAGGTAAGATTAATTTTAAATTTTGAAATAAATCAAATTAATTTTATAATATGTTTTAATAGCTCTTTACTTTATCTTGCTGTGACACGACTTCTGATAGGGAAAATACTCCTTAGAGTCTCTCTCACAAGTCTGAAATGGTTTTAATTTGAAAATTAAATCTTTAAGTGTACACTGATTTCTTTATTCTTATTTTAATGCTTTTATACTTCCAATATGGTAGATGACTTTTATAAATGATCATACTATATACTGTGCGTTGAAAGTTATTCAGTTTAATTATTGTTTGGTTTTCCCATCAATTATGTTGCTATGACCTGTTTTAAAGTGGATAGTATGCAGGTGTATTTCAGCATTATCCTGCGTAGATAAACTGACCTCCCAACACACAGTCTCTGGCAGGATGAGCATCTATCCAAGCCATCCCTCATAAGACTGTCTAAATCATCAAGTTGTAGGTATTCCCAGACTTTGCTGTTGAAGCTGTTATGGAAACATGAACTGACGTTTGAGGGCAGGATTTTTAGGAACTGATCCTGGAGTTCCCCCTCCAATTAATATTTTAGTATTTTATACAAACCAGAGCAGCACAAAGCAAGAGAGATAACATACAGTGATCAGTACTCTACTGCATGTTGTGTAGAGTACTTTCTTGGATGGCGAGAAATACGGATTTGAATTCTCTTCAGCTGACTTAAGGAATTGAATTTGAGTCTCCTACATCACTGTGCTACTGAGAGGAGCTGTATGCTGCTATTCTTTACAGGATAGGAGGAGAGGCTATTTGAAGAAGTCTCACAGAGTCCTTCCAGCTTGTTTAATACGCAGAGGAAAGAGGAAAAAACCAGAAATGATCATACTGTCCAAGCTTAAGCATCTGGTTTACCTGCAAGAGTTGGGAGCCTAAATTCTGCTTATAATCAGCAAAGAGGGGACAAGGCTTTTAATTTAGGTTTTCCAAAACAAAAAAAATTTTTTCCTGTTAAGTATATATGGAGCATAGAGGCCTAACTCGGGCAACTGCCATGTCTGCAAATTAGGTTTTCCATGTGCCCAAAGCAGTAGGTGCAGGAAAAATTCTATAAGTAAAAGAATATCTGTTTACAAATGCAGCTAAATATAAAACTGTCTGAAAAAATAGCTTTAAAAAATTTTATTTACATCTACTATTTTATTTCATCATTTCCAGAAGCAGTTTTTATACAATTTAACTTGACATAGGGTGTTGTCAAATCTATAGTGGATCTTTCTTGGGCACTAAAATGTATAAAACCTTGAGTTAGGTATGCTAAAACTTACCATTTTTCCAGCACCAAGTGATCCACCGAAAGATGTTGTGTACAGAAATCTTACTTCCACATCAATAATGCTATTCTGGTCTCCTCCTCAAAAGCCTAATGGAAATATACTGTACTACTCAGTTTATTTCAAAAATAATTCAGGAATATTCATACAGGTAAGCTTATTTTTATATTCTTTTTGTAGAATTCAATAAAGTGTTCTAATAATTCATTAAAGTTTAAATCAATTTTATAGTTATCAGTATATTGTTCTTTCGTATTTCCTTTATCACAAGGCAGCTTTTAACTTATAAAGACAGAAGCATATCTTGTAATCATGTGTGTTGCGTTGTACATCTCATTGGACATCCGTATCATTAAACATTAATGCAAATAGTTTTTGTGTAATGTTCCCTATTGAAATGTTTGTAGGTACATGTATGTACACACGCATACATCTAATACACATATATGCACAACATGTGTAGATAGACAGATGCAAGACCCATTACATTCATTGCACATCCTTAAGACTGTTTATTTTAGTCTAATTGATCAATTTGAATAAATTTCTGTAACAGTTCTGGGTTTACTTTTTAGTGCATGTTCGTACAGTGGTGAAAATAAAAGATAATGTCGAAGTAGTGAATACATTATTATTTCATATTTTTGTTAGTCTCAAAAGGAAATGACTGTTTTGTATGTTGATATTGAGGTTCCTAAGTTAAAGCATAAAAGACAAATAAAATTTTATTTATAATTTTTTGGTGATCTGCACATTTCCATGTAGGTTTTTTTTGTTGCTACTTTCAGCCTTAATTATGCACCACATTTATTAATTTTATATATAGTTTTTCTGTTCTCCTTTCTAAGAATATATTATGATACAGAACTGTAATAAGAAGAAATAAGCTTCCTTTGCAGGATTTTGGTCACAAGGTTAACACATGTGGAAGAAAAGAAAGAAATATAAATTCATGAAGAAACTAATGCATGAAAAATTACCTCTACTGCATAACTTTATGCTCAAGATATGTCTAGTGTGAGGTATGCATGTGTTTGATGATAACTAGAAAAAATTATTCACAAATTTTACAAATAGCTGTGACTGAATAATTGCTGACATACTTCATTGTATACACTTCTCTGCCTTCTGTGAAGCTGTGTGATTGCCAAGCTCTGTCTGCAGAGTTTCAGAGGCAAGCAGGACCGTGCCACGAATTCACATTCTGATGAGATTAAAATCAGGGCTACAGTTCTGAGCTTCAGACTCTGCTTGCACACACTGCTATACCAACAGCGTTTTTCTTAGCCTAACAAATCTGTGGAGAAACCTTTACACCAGTGCATTACCTGAACTAGCCCATCCTATGAAGAGCATCTACATTTATCTAATTCTTGGACATCTCAAGCGATTTTAGAGGAGGACTGTGGACTTGGGATGTTCCTGCCTTTAGGAGGGTGTAACTCTGAAGTGAATGAGTAAGGTGACACATACACTGAGAGCTAACATCCATCTGGATGTGCCCAGGGCTGGAAATGAAGGAGCACGACAGGGAAGATGGAGCACAGTAGCATAGGCCCAGCAAGATGAGGGTCCAGTTTCATTATCATGTGATGTAGTTGGGCAAGGAAAGGATGGTGGCATGGGTGGAAGTTACCACTGCTGTGGCATATTATGTGGTAGACAGCAAAAAAGCATTGACAGTAGCTCCACTTCTAGGTGTGGAAACTACCATTTCCACACTTTCAGCTTTGATTTTTAACCCATCTTTCTGCCATCAGAAGATAGGTTTCAGCTGCTGTTGCATCTGTCTCTTACCAGCCATGGGAGATCACCATTAATCTCTCAAACTATGATCCACTCCTAATCTGTCTGCTCCCCTTACCTCCCTCTGCCCTCCACATGCCTCTCTGTTCTCTATTTGGCATGGCAACTACCATATCTACATTGCACTCCTATTCTGTACCTTGTCCTGTGAGTGCACAACAGGTTTCAAACAGGAGAAGGAAACAACTGATATTATATATATATATACATACATATACAGACAATTGTAAATTTATGCACACATACAGCTTACAACTATCTGTGACTTAGAAGTATAACCATGTAGTTGCAGATCTGTTGGTAAGTTTTGTATTGCACTCATTTGAAAAGAAATAATCCTTATTTGGAATACTCTGCATCTAGGTCACCATTCTGCTTATCTTTATCCAAACTGTATTTTCAGTTTGGGAAATTATAAAGGAGAAATAAAAAAGTAGATGACCTTTTCACATTTCTAGGAAGCCCACCTTCTCAGATATGCTGCTGTAGGCAGCCATTCTCTGCCAGTCTTTCATCTGCTTCTTTGTCAGGACATAATAACAGAGATCCAAGTATTAAAGCATGTCTTCTAGATGCCTGAAAAAACATCCTGGCTGAAGAATATCAAGCGAATTAACATCTTCCAAAACTGTAATAATCTGAAATAGATATAAAAGTCATACTAAAACTAGTGTTTTTCTGTTGTCTCACTTCTCACACATTCTCAAACTCCTCAGGCATGTTAAAATCTAATTAATATAAAGCACTGACTATGAATATGTTAAAACTCAGGAAATTAGCAGCTGCAGATTCAAGTGGGGTTTTTGGGTTTTGTTTTGTTTTGTTTTGTTTTTTAATGGGGAAAAAGGTGAAAGACCTGAGATAAAGGATGTAGTTTACTCCATGACATGATGCAGAAACTTGCAGAAGAAATAGTTTTCCTTCAAAAAGAAAAAAAAAGTCACATACCTTCATAAGGCAGAAAAATAATGTATAGTTTCTTTGCTTTACAGATCTACATGAAAATCACAGTGTGGCTGTCCAGTCAGAAGGCCTGGGGTACTCAGACCTAGGATTCAGAACCAGAACAGCAGAAGGAACTATTTAGTGATGGAGATTAGATTTGAGGATTTTGGTAGATGAGTGGGCTGTTTCTATGGGGACGTTGACAGTTTGTAAAAGAAAAAGTGTCACAGAGGGAGGAATGACTGGTAGCCAAATAGAAGAAACCATCACTTGCACAAGTTCAGCTTATCTTTCATCTTCTGCTGCCATAGGTCTAGGGAAAATGGTGCTTTGTGGTGGTTTATGTTCACTACTCTGCCCCAGTGCAGTAAAGATATGGCACATATTGTGATGAAGGGCACTTCCTACACAGATGACATGACACTTTACTTCTTATTCACATCGCTTTTTTGTGACACTGCTGGATTCCTGCAGTTTGAGCTTTCACTGTTTGCAACGGCAGCTTTGCAAGTTTTGCTCCATGCTGCCTTGCATGGTGCTTGAAGCAATCATATTGCCCATGTTCTCAGTCTTATCGACGAAAGAAGTCAAAGAATCTATGGAAGTAATTGTCTCATTGCTAAATACTGATCTATAAGAGGTATCGCTGACTTCAATAAACTTTTATTCAATCTCTCTATACTTGTGTTTTGATTAGCAAGCAAGTGGGAAAGGTGCTAATTAAAAATATAAATTTATGTTTGGAGAAAGTTCTTCAGTGTAGGAATTTCAGTACAGATGACAACTGTCCTGCTTTGCCAAACCAGACAGGGGAACCAAGTAGAGAAGAAAAGCCCACAGCCCTTCTAGAGACTGAACGTTAGACTCCAGATCATCCACCCCCTGTACTTCAAGCCAGCCTAAGAGAACATGACTCGATACAGTTCAGAGTGAAGTTTGGCTTGGTCTGCCCTTGGGGTGCAGACAAGGGATGCAAGCAATGTGCTATATTAGCTTAACAGTCAAAGATTTTCTTTCACCAGTATGACCGAAATAGGGATGAAAGGGGAACTCCTCTAAAATACACTGCAAATTTTTTTAAAAGATGGCATCAGAATGGTGCAGCACACAAAAAGGAAATATCTTCACTTCGGTTGGTGCTGGAACCGTGTGCATTACGCTTCTTGAGGGATGGCTTGGATTAGCCCTCACACTGTCACCAGATTGCCAGAGTCAAGTATGCGATACTCTAACTCTAAACAACAGTGCAATACAATGAAACTAAAGAAGGAAACAGAACAGGGGGGAAAAGGTTAACGGTGAAGAGCAGCAGCACTGTGCTGTTTGTATAGAACTAATTACGGCTTTATGCCACTGGAAATTTCTGCCGCTTCCTGAGGTGAAGAAGATACTACTTTCTGCTGACACTTTCATGGCCTGTGTGTATTGCTTACACTTAGTTGCTTTTAATAATCTGATACTTTGCTATGTCAAAACTTCTTTCATGTATGAATGAAGAAAGGGACAGAAGGAAGAATTTCTTCAGCTGTAGCCAAAGATCCTAAGCTGCTTGCTTTCATCTGCAGCCACAGTTAATTGTAAAACTTCCTATAGTGTTCTATCCCCAGGGTACAATTAGTGCAAGTTTCATCTTTTCTCAGTTTGTACCCACACAGTTCTTCCTGCTCACCCTTACTCTTAATGATGTGTTCATTCTTTCCCAATATTTTGTCATATCAGAAGTTTGAGGTAATCCTCAGTCCTTGGGCTCCTCATAGTAAGGGGACTACCTCTTAAACAGTTTTTGTTGAACCACCAAAAACCCTGTTGTAGCATTCACTTTGGTTTACTGAGTCCTTAACTGCCAGACAGCTGACTAAATTGTAAAGGTATGCTTTTTAAACTGAGAGTTGGATTTTTCAGCTGTTCATACCAATCTAAAATCAAAACTTGATGTGGTACCTTTGACGTTTTTACCTTGAAAACTCAGAGAATTATTTAAGGTCTTTTTAAACTTATTATTAGATGTTATTATTATCAATTGCTAATTATTAATAATTACAATATCTAATACTAATAACAACAGGAGGGTAGTAGAATGATGCTTCTGGGTCAGAAGGTATTTTCTGTCATACTATTCTTGAGCATCAGAAAGTTTAATTAAATAGCTTAGAATTCAGTCCTCTGTTTCCTGTATCTTACCGTGCTCAAGTGTAAAGCAAAGCTTTTCCCAGGCTTTTTCAGTTAGTTATGTGAAGTTAGTGTGAGCTTCCACCTATGTGTAAGAGAAAGTCACATATTAAGGTGGAATTTTTTAGTGTTTTTACCCATGCTGACTTAACCTGATCTTTCAGACAAACCTGACAGTGTGCTTTAAGTCTGTTAATAGGAGTGGATATAGAAATTTATACCGTCAGTTTGTGCAGCTTCTGTTCTGCACTGAAAACAAAGGCTTACATTTTCATTGCCAAGCAAACTGTTTACTCGTTATGTTATGTGAGCAGTAGTGACTGTAGGCAAAACTAAGTCTTCAGATATTGGTACAAAAATCTCATGGGAATGTATGAGAATGTCACCTATTGTTTTCTGCAGAAATAAAATAACTTTGCCTGTACAAAAAATTTGATTGTTATGTTAGATATATAAATTGATATGTATTGATTGCAGACATCAAGATTGCATACTAAGCTATCAGTTCACACAGTAGCGACTCAACTGTTTGGTAGAGCGTATCACAGTGACTTCTTCAGTAGGAACTTTCCTCAAGAGAAATATAACCTATTTTTTAGTATCTGGATTTAGCATGCCTGTGTTTATATGTGGTATTTCTGAATTTAAATATGCAAACATTACAGTCACCTTCCTCCTGTTTTAGTAAGTCTTGCTGTCACAGCCTCTCTTTTTTGGGAAAGCATTTAATTTAAAGCCAGCTTTGATTTTAAGGATCTGGAGGGTGTGAATAAGGTACAACACTGAAATTAGAGGGCAGGCCAAATAGCTGGAATGTGTACTAGGCTGTTCATCAGGGGGTTGGGCAAAACCAAACTCACTGAAATCCATCACGAAAAGGTTACTGTGTAGAGAAGTTAGGAGGACTTCTTTGGTCCTGAGAAGTGCTGCCCATGCTACCTGCTTAACAGGGCAATGTGGCTGCTGGAGAGGAATGATACTGACTCTTCAAATCAGGAGCAAAGCTTTGACATCCTACCCAATGCTGGAGCTGAATATGCTTATGGAGTACATAACCTCTCAACAGTTTTCAAATCATGAACTAAACTGCTTTGGATCATCTAAGTCAGGTTCCCATAAAGCAGTGGGTGATTTGACACATTCGGTTATGCGGTATGGCTGACCTTGCATGCATCATCTGATTTATAGTTTTTTCTTTTCAGTTTGTTCTAAACAGGAGTAGCCTCCTCAGAAGGGCTTGTCTAGAGCACTAATCTATTGCTACAGTCACAGTTTTAGCGGAATTTTTTTATATAATTCAAAAGAAAGTGGGACTTGGTTCTGGTATAATCCTTTTGTTAGCAACCAGCTGTACAAAGAAAAGAAATTCTGTCAGTTCCTTCAGTTTAATGCGATCCACGGGGTATAGATGTTTGCATTATGAATAATGGCATGTTTTTAATGGAAAGGACAGCTGATAAATGGGAAACTAGAAAGGTAAATCAATAAATAAATAATATTTTCAATGGTAACACTTCTTTTTTTTCATTTAGAATTTCACGAGTTACGATAACGACAGTCATGTCAGTACGTCCCACTCTGCAGTTCTGGATGACTTGGCAAAATACAGCCATTACACTGTATGGTTAACTGCAAGCACAGCTTTTGGAGATGGAAACAAAACCAGTGAAATAATAGACGTGTATACAGATCAGGATAGTAAGTTAATAACTTTTTTTAATGCTCAATGTATGTGGGTGCTTCTATTTGTTAAATATTCTCTAACTTTAAAATTATTTTACTGTTATAAAGGCAAAGTTAAAAAAATCCAGTAAGTACCATTTTCAGTACTGCAGTATTTTTCTTTGCAAGGAAGACATTTTGATCTGAGTATTTGCTTTATAATACTAAGAACATAGTTCACAAGCTCCTTCTTTGGATACAAGCAATAAAAATATTGTCTTAAACCATCATTAAGACTCTTTTGTTAAACAAATTTCACATAGATGATACAGGCCTTCAAAGTATTTTGCTTTTGATTGTGAAATAGAAATACTATTTTTAAAAGTTGTACAAAGTACAAGTGAGATTTAAAGTCTGATCATACTTTGAGCATTTATTTCTGTTTGGGGTTTAGGTGCTTTATTACTGTAATCCATGCATTTATTTTTTGCTTATTATCTCTCATAGTCCCAGATGGTTTTGTTGAAAATCTGGTCTATCAAAACATTTCCTCATCTTCTGTAAATGTAAGCTGGCTTCCACCATCCCAGCCGAATGGCTTAGTCTTCTTTCATGTTTCTCTAAGTTTACTGCAACGGGGAACCAATAAGATATTGTCTTTCCTTACTTACAACACAAGCATAATTTTTGACAATCTGGAGAAATATACTGATTACATCCTGAAAATCACACCAGCTACTGATAAAGGATCGTCTGAACTGCATGCTCTAAGTCTGCATATAAGAACTGATGAAGATGGTAAGATATTCTATTCATCCCTAAGGAACTGTAAAGAAAAAAATAACTTTCTAAAAGACAAAAAGATTATTGTGTTTATTTTTCTCATGTTACTTAAAAGCTTTTTTGTTATACAATGACATAAACAACTACTACACTTTTCTGTGTTGAGACCATGAAATAGAATTTTCCACTCAGAGCACAACTTTAACTGATAACTAAAAGACATTTTTCATTGTAACTCATATTTTTCTGAGGTTATCCTTGGTTTTGTCTCTCTTATTTCTTTTTATAGTCCCAGAATCAGCACCTATAATCAAAACATTTTCAAATCTCTCAACTACCTCAGTTATGCTTTCATGGGACCCTCCTGTTAAGCCAAGTGGAATTATAATAAGTTATGATTTAAATTTATTTGGGCCAGAAAGGAATAACTCATTCTCTACCACCAATAATTTTATCGTCTTGGAAGACCTTCTGCCATTCACATTATACAGCATTTATGCAGCTGCAAGAACAATAAAAGGACCTGGTCCATCTGCCATGCTTCAGTTCTACACAGATGAGTCAGGTGAGCAAATTCAATTGTAACCAACTTTGAAATATTGGCCCTATGTTTCTGCATGCATCTTAGATCTCAACATCAGACCTGGAGAGAGTTGAGATGAAGGATTCATTTTCCATTGGTCTGTACATAAGGAGTTTTCAGAAGAAGGAAACACTACAAGGGAAGTATTTTCTGAGTTCTCCTCCCGCCACAGTGTGCAAGAGGAGGTTGCATTCTGCGTAGGATTAAAAAAATAACTCCAAGGAGAAATGTCTTTTGCCTTTGGAATGTGTTAGAGTTTGCCAAGTGTCAGGGATTTTGAAGCAAGAAACAATACCTTTGTCTTCATACCCCCATGTAATTGAAAAATGATAAAACATGGAAATGTTTCTGACACATTCACACAGGTCTCCTTCATGTGGACCTCCTCTCACCTGCATGGCAAATGACATCTCTTGCAAATATATATTGAGTTGCGCTGAATATATGATGTAGGAAGCAAAGTGTATCACATTCCAGTAATACATGTAATACGAATTTTGTTAAATGCCTTAGTGCTGACAATGGGGATGTTTAAGGGATGAATAGATTTGTAGACCTCTAAGAAGATCGCTTGCTGACTAAACACGAATTCCAGATTAATGAGATTTGTTTCATGCCAAAGAGAAAGAAAAAGATTAAAATATCAGTGAAGTACTGTTTTGCTAGGTTCAGATACAAATGGTAACAAAAGTACCTATGTTCTCCTGCTTCTCCAAAGTTTTTTGGTTTTGCCTGGAATATTTGTAATTTGAAGCTTAATAGCATTCCTCTTTTGCAGTGCCATTAGCTCCACCCCAGAATTTGACCATTACCAACTACACTGCAGATTCTGTGTGGCTGAAATGGGATCCAAGTCCCCAGCCAAATGGTCTTATTATGAGATATAATTTTAAGATTTATCAAAACAACACTGAAAAACTATTTTATCAGGTATGTTTATAATTAACAGTGTTTAATTTTTTAAATACTTTGTTCATGCTTTAGGAACAAAATGTATGACAAATATTTTAAATGTCTGTTGTGCTCCTAGAATTATCAAGCTCCTCTAAAACCCTATTTGTTAAGACAGTTTACTTACCCTCCCCCAATACCTGTGATTCAAGTCTTAAAATCAGATAGAAAAAAATTTTTAGATTTTAATCTGCTTTGAGCTTCTAATGTGTCATTAATGATGAGCTTTATTTCATATTTTAGTGTAAGTTTGATGTTAGAAAGTTACTTGTTTTGTGGCTACCTTTGTTTAGCTATATAGTATCTGTGGACTTTCAAGGTTCAGAAAGAAAGACAGACATTCCTAGTCATCTTGAAAACTATTTAAAGCTCTTTAGAGGTTTGAATTTTTTTATTTTTGCAGAATAAAAATAACTGAATAAATTTTAACTGCAATAGATGCTATAAAATTATATAAAAATTGATCAAGGAATTTATATCTGCTTAAATCTTGTTGTTTGGATGGCATCAAGAAATGAGCCATGAACTGTAAAGGCTGCAAGCTGAGGGCAGGATTGCATCTTAGACTCAGAAACTGTACAGTGAGCTCTGCTCACCTGAGAATTTGTAAAAGCTGCGGGGAAAGGACATTGCTGCAGTGAGACAGGAGTTTAAGACATGCAGTGTAAGGTACCTGTGGGACTGTGAGGAGCTTCGTTACTCCAACTCCCTCAGCAATACAGTTCTTATTGCAGAGACTTCACATGTGAGGAAACCGCTTGTGCTGTCGTTAAGCGTACGCATTGTGGAAATCACGTGGGGTGGCCTACTGTGCTACCCCTTATGCAGTCTGCTGTTACTCCCCACTGTGGAATGAAGTGCTGGCATGACCTCAGTTTCTTCCAGTCACATACTGGAAGAGGGGAAGCACAACACACATATGGAAGAGGAACAGTAGTTTCTACCACCAGCTGCCTTTGGAAACACATTCTTTGGGTGTTTGTGGAGACCACCAAAGATTATTCTCCAGTGCCCATCTGAGGCAGACTGAAACCCAGTTAGAATACAGAAGCTGGCCAGAGCAGTTGAATGCATCTGCTAGGCTCTACATTTCTTCATGTTTTGTGATGTTATATGGGCAAGAAACTAGATTTAGGTTGTGGCAGCAAGACAGGCAAAGCAGTTTATATAGAAATATTGTAGTTAAGCACCATAACTCTCTGATAACATGGATCCCACAAGATGTTCACCAGGTTTTCTTGCTGAAATTCATCTCGTTCCCTGCTGCTATTATAGTCCTCTCAACATTTGCACACAATATGCCTTGCATGCTCTGGGATGTAGAGCTCCTAGGAACTGAACTGTGTTTTTTAGCTTTTTTCAAAGCTCTTCATCAGTCTGTGTGACTGGCTCAGGTAAAGTAAAAGAAATGAGAAGCTGTGACCCATGACCTCTTCCACTGCAGAGGTGTAGTAAGGAAGTAGAAGGTGAGAGGGGGTTGATGTGGCAGGGTGGAGGTGGCAAGAGTGTTGAATATTGGTAAAAAAAGCATATGGTCAGTTAATCTGTTCTAACAATGCTATGGTAATTATGATACCATCCGTCGGCATATCTTCCTCACAAGCAACAGTGAAAGAGGGAGAGAAGAAGGGAAAGGAAGAATTTGACCCTGCGTTCTTTTTCATTGAGCTCAGGGGCTCCTTTGATGGAAAGCTACTCAGAGTAGAAGAGGCAAGACTATGGCTCTAAATCTTCTGTTCATGTCAGTGGGTTCAATGTGAGGCCCACAATGTTTACAAAGATTAATTGCATACTAATAATTTTTCCTTCCTTAAGAACATTTCAGGTTCAAACCATGAGGCAAACCTTGTTGGATTAGAACCGTTCAGCCCCTATTTCATCAGCATCTCTGCGTTTACCAAACTTGGGAATGGCAATCAGTTCAGTAATGCTGTCCAGTTTACAACAATGGAATCAGGTTAGACGTGACTTTTTCTAAGCTGCGGTTCTGTTTATATATATTTTCCTTGTATGGCTGAACAGCAGTCTTTCCCTTCTCTCCAAAGAAAACGTAACATGACACTATCTCATTGTCTTCTGCCTGTGTAACGCTAATTCACATTCCTATTGTACCGGATAGGCTGGGTTTGAAGTTTGATGTCGGAAGTGTAGAATTAGAAATGTCCTCATCTGAAATGAGAGGCTTATATGGCTACTATAAATCTTTTAATAGCATCAGAGATAAAGGGAGGAAAATCAGATAGATATCAGTCTTTGCAGATCAAAGTGATAATTCAGATCCCTGTGAAAATAACTTTAGCAGTATCAAAAGCAGCTGGACAAAAGATTGGCAAATGAACTGGAAATTGTATTAAACAAATACAGATTTTTAACATTTTTTATAATTTATTTTAGGAAAGGAAAGCTAACCACTAATTAAACATTGTAATTTGTTAGATCTTATTCTTCCTGGCAAGTGGGGAGAGCTACACAATATAGCTGGCTTAACTAATTAATTATGTGTAGTTTTGTCTTGTGCATTCTACGTATCTTTTGAAGTTGCAGGTTGTTTCAGAATGAAAAAGTTGACACGTGAAAGTGAATATTCAACACTCACTAAAGAGAGCCCAGGAGCTCTGCAGGTTTGTGAAACTGGCCTTTGTGCAAAACTGCAGTTGCTTTGGCGGGTCAGAGCAATCCCCAGGTTCATGTACTTTATAAGGGCTGTATCAGTGCCAGGGGACTAGCATGGGTTATGGGGCTGTATCCAAACTCTCAGGTTCCTTTATGCTGACAGCAAAGGGTGCAGACAAAGTGTCAAAAGATGCCGTATGGTGACTACAGTTTTTCAAGACCACACTTCTTTCCAGAGCTGATAAAACAGGGTTTCTGGGAAAAAATATGCTGTTTATTGTACCCAGCAGTTACAACACCATGAGAAATCTGGGCCATCACTGAACGGGTTCAGGTTGGCCGTTGGATCTCTGCAGCTGGAGGTTGTCCTTCCCAAGAGCCATGGTCATCCATCAGTTGTCACATTTCATCACTGACGTTCCATACTCATGGTACTTTCTTCAGAAGTGCTGAAGAGACATTGCCCACAGGAGTGTGGTCTAGTCATTTTACAGCTTTTTCTCATGTTTTATGCTCAGAGAGTTGCAGCATTGTTTCCTTTCCCTCCAACCCAGATTGTGGGCAGCTGCTGGATCAGTTCTCACTGAGTTAGTCTTTATTAAAAGTGCCAGTTACTCTTCTTTCTTCTACAGATGCTGCTTTATAAAACAAGATTTTTCTTTGAATTCTGGAAAGAAAATTAATCATTTTAAAGAGATTCCTTTACCTCTGTGCAGTGATAATGAATGTGTTTCCCTCTGTTTCTGGTACCTCACTGATAGTCTTTTGACTATTATATGGCCTCCTGGACATGTTCCAATAGGGGAAGTAGGTTGGGGTGCCCCTCACTGTGTATTCATTTTCTCTTAGCTGGTACAGCCAGCAATTTAGCCCTTTCTTAGATACTTGAATTCATTCTTCTGTTTAATCAATTGTTCACAGATAGTTGCTCTATTTTCAGCATGAGTATGTTTGCTACCTTTTATTAAATTTTTATGAGCATTTGAAAAAATGTCCCCTGCTAGAACCAGCAAGGAGGTGGGGAACAGTAAGGGAATAGCATTGATATGACAGCTCTGAAACCTGCCCAGTGACTTCTGTGCAGGTCATGGCTCTACTGAAAAGACAGTGATATACGAAAAGAAACAAAGGTAACAGATAAATAAAGAAGTTCTGCTGTTGATACTGTTGTGGAGTATGTGTATGGGTTTTACACTATTGTGTATGTTTTACTACACTTTGATTAAAAAAAATGGGGAAAATACGAGCAGATGTGAAAATAAAATTGGAGCACACAGCTAGGTAAAAGCCGGAGAGATGGCCTTTTGTGTTTAAAGTGCTAACATCAGTCATGTTCATAGTAGTTGGAAATGAACCATCTAATGAGGACAAAGACTTATTTTTGTTCTCTTAATGTATTTCTTTGATCAACTTGTTTGCCACTGGAATGTTTGACCCTCACTGTGAATGCTGGGTCTGCTTCTCTGACTGTATTGTGCTGTGATTACCATTTTAATTGAGTGGGAATGTTAATCTTTGGTGCATGTGTATCTTTTAAGTACCAGATGCTGTCCAGAATGTTCATTGTATTGCAACAAGTTGGCAATCGATCATAGTGCAGTGGGACCCTCCTGCTTCATCCAACGGTGTAATTACTCATTACATTGTAACAGTTGAAGGAAATTCTACAAATATTTCATCTTATGATACACTGCATACTTTCAGAAATCTGCTTTCCAATATTACTTACCAATTTAAAATAAAAGCTGCAACATCTGCTGGTGATGGTGAAGAACAGATATGCAATGCCAGTACGCTTCCAGAAAAAGGTAACGAATTATTCAAGTTAATTCTCTTTTTTTAATTTAAATGGTAACTATGAAACAAGCTGGTCTGAAATGCCTGCTTCAATTCAGACAACTAAATCTTTCTGTTTAAATTTCTTGCTAATAGTGGATGAGGAGAAACAGGACTTCTTCTTTCTGCTGTTTTAGAATACACTTGGTGATGAGAATTAATTGCCATTTAAAAAAGGATAGGGAGAGTACCTTTTTCTGTGTTGAATTTGAATGGTTATTTTATTAATTTCTGATCACCTGTTATTTTTGCTTATAAGCTCTGCTTTGTTCCTAGTGCATAGTTGATACTGTAAGCCTGAAAAATTTATTGGCAGCAAAATTTTTGTTGTTTTGTTTCTACCAGTGGCCAATGCTATGACTTCATTGTTTGACAATAAAGCTATTCAGAATTTGTGCAATTGAGAAGAATTTAACTTCCTCAAGCAGACTTTGTCATAACTCCTGATGAATAGGATTTTTTTAACAAGAAAGATAATTGTGAGCTAAATCCAAAGAACATAGGCAGGTTTTTTGGCATTGGAGTAAAAAATTGTCACCCAAAGTCTGTCTCCCTTTCCCTCTCCACACACACTTCACCTAATCCTTGCTGTGCTTTTGCTTGATACCTGAAACTCAGAGCTGAAGTTCTGTGCAAAATAGAGTGTTGCTCTGAATAGCTATGTGCCTAGCTTCTAAACTGGAAGTGAAGTGGAGTCCAGCTCCTAATCCAGGAAGCAAATGCCTGTTTCAGTTCCCTTCCCCAGTTAAGGATGAGTTCTACTCTTGGGATCATTTATCTTGGTTTTCTTCTTCTTCAGTGATAGTTTAATATAAAAATAAAAAATAATGTTCGTTGAGCAGGATACAGAAAAAGACTTCACCTTCCAACAGAATTACAGAAGCAATTACTGCATTTAGTTCCTTTTCATGTTTCTTCTTCAGTGACATCAATTCATGCAGTGGAGTTGAGGAGCTCTTCAACTCAGAACAGCTGGATCATTAGGAAACATGGGGGTGGTGGGGGGGATCACGTCTGTATCCATTGATGCTTAGAAATCAAACCTACTTTTTGTAATACTTGAATTAGTAAGTTGTTGAATAACTTAAAATATGAGTTGCAGCACTCATTCTCATATGTATTTCAGCTGAAAGAGTGAGGTTTGCTCAGTTCTTTCAAATAATATATTCGAGAGTCTGTGTCAGCAACAGGATTTAGGTTCTGGATGACAAGTGGAGGGGGGCAGCTCTACTACGCAGACTTGAATCACACATCTAAACTTGGAGGAGATCAGACTTACCGTTATGCTTAGACTTCCTGTTGCTAGCTTCCTGAGCATCATGCACCTCTTTAGATTCTTTGGCTCTCTCCTATTCACAGAGCCTTAGTGCCACACTCTGAACTTTGATTTTCCCACTTCTTAAAATTAGACTTGCAGATGTGCATGTCTGAATGAATCTAGACCACATCTGTATTGCGCTACTGCTGCTTTGGTTCCAGTTCAAGTGGCTGAGCTCCAAATGAGGACAAGCAGAGCAGCCCCTTGCTGACGTAATGCGGCCAACATTGTGAAAATAGCCAGGGTTGCACTTTGGTGACTGCCCCTCCTCATAATACAGTCCATCCCACTAAAGCCTGGCCACATCCCCCTTTGAACAATGAGGTGGCACATTCATACCTGTTTCTGGTGAAAGTGTTCTATCTAAATTTGCTTCGTCATCAACAACAACTGTCCTACAAATTCTGCCATTTTCTGATCCCTGCTGGTCCCTTTCTGTCCAACTCCTTGGCAATTTAAGACTTCTGCCTGGGTCATCTGCCCTCTTATTTACTCAGAAACTCCTGTCTATCAGCAGCATTCAAGATCCACCTTTGGAGAAAGCATTTTTTAAATATTAGAGATGAGCATGCTCCTATCTTATAGCGTTGACTGGAAATACTACAGTGAGCTTAGTGGCTGTGCTGAACATGGATGTGTGCGATTGTGCACCTAAGTACACTTCTCAACTGCTGTCATAACTCTTCACCCTTCCTTTTAAATTAGGGCTACTGAACAACCAACTCTCACTCAGAGCTCGAGCAAGACTGAAACTGGGAATGGGTATGTAGACAGGTGGGCTGATGCCCTGTTAAAACTGGACTTGTCCAAAACCTGAAGGTTTTGGAGATAGTCTTGTAAGAGGCATGTTACCCTCTGGTACAGGGGAAAACAGGAGGCTTCCCAGGTACCTTGCTTCCTGGAGGATGGGGGAAAGGCTTCCAGCAGTGTTAAAGAAGCCTGGCACCTGGGAAAGTTAATTGTTGGAATTTCTGAGAAAATTGGGGTTGGCTATTAATTAGTGCTTGAGGAAAGCCCCCAAAGAAGCTGTGGATGTGGCATTAAGTCTGGGCTTGAGAGACAGACTGCTAGTCTGTTGTGGTCTATGTTACATTGACTTATACTAGCAAGAGAATAAAACCAGACTTTATTTTGTAACAACATGTGGCTTATGTGTCTTATCACTGGGAGTTTTCTTCAGTGAAGGATTTATACTACAATACATGTATTTTTTGCCACATACACTGCACAGACCCTTTCTTGCTGTTTTAGCATTGGCTTTTTAGCATGTTGTTGCTTAGTCATATTTACAACAAACTAGTTATTATTAGTACATTTCCTTAACTGTGTGCTTGCGTGAATTGTTTTGTGGTGACTGGGTACTAGGAATTGGAGATTCATGGATGGGAATGGAAACAGTTTTATAGCTGTTGTCAGCTTCTTATTTATGGTGGTCTAAGATTAGTCACAGAATATGTAGCCAGCACTGAGTCACTGACAATGCATTTATTTCTGACATAAAGTGAAATTGAATTTGGCTCCGTGTCTCACTGCATAGTGTTTGACCTTTACATTCTTTGCAAGATTATTTACCTTTTTTTTGAGGTAAATTTGTTCATATCTGGGTACAATTAAACATGAATCATGAAGATTAAATTTATGAGGAGATGAGTAGTGTTTTGTGTCTAATCTAGCTCCATTGTCATGGTAAACCACCTCTGCCAGGCTGCAGTATGTTATAAAAACTGTCAGCTTTATAGTGATAATATTACTTTGTGATTAAATATATCATAAAGGATATGAAAGATAATATAGCAAGAACACATGCATAAATGAGTTAGGATTTTATGACTAAATAGCTATCCTTGGATTATTTTCAAGAAAATGCACATATTAAAATGAAATTTCATTAAGGTTGACTGAGTTTTTAGAAGGGAAAAAGAGCCATAAAATGTTAGGAAACTTCTCCAAAAGGCACACTAAAGCTGTGACAATTCAGTTAACTCACAAGTCCGGGACAAATGTAGTAGTCATTCAGTTAAGAATAAAAATAGAACAAATAAAAAGCCACTTTGGGTGTGAATAATCAAAAGAAAACTGTTGCTGCTTTCCATTATTTCAATTTAGATTTTTCTTGATAGTATTTTTATTCTTCTCTGAAAATACTAATTATATATTAAGACATGCAGAGTATTTTTTCCCTCCTTACTGCTACTCCTACTTGACATTAAAACTGAACACAGAGTCTTTGAACAGGTTGAGGCCCTCATTGTACTGCAGTGACAGTCCTTACCATTTGTTTTCTACTAAACAGAGATTCTTTCATAACTTACATTTAAAAGAAATATGGCTAGAAATTTGTCCAAGAAACATTTTTTAATTTAGTCTGTGCTTAATTTTGCTGGGCAATACTAACTTGTAGCTGTATACAGAAGTATGCCTTGTGCATGAAGGAGTGATGCCTAAAAGGATTGGTAATGGGAAAGTTTCTTAGTTCTTTTCGTGTGGAGGTGGCAAATTAAAAATCTGTTGTTACTTGTGCACAAAATGTCTTTACTCTCTGCACAGGGGAACCTTCAAAGATTCTGTGTTTGTGTCTCCAGGATGGAGGTGCCCATTGGAAAATGTGGACCTTTTTTTCATCCAGGCCTGCAAGGAGCACAAAATGTAGCAGGGGCTTAAAGCCTTTTTCATATTCAAGGAAATGCTGTTTCCTTCACCATAAATTGTTTTCTTAGGACATGGCAGCTCGTGGCAGTTCGTGGTAGCTCGTGGCAGCTCATGGCAGCTCTGAATTGGAGTTATATGAATTTCCTCATTATCCTGTGAAGAGAACTACAAATGACCATAATGCACAAGAAGAAATATTTAAGCTCATACCCTAAGGTGATCCTTAGGGCCCCAATCATGATATGCAGTGCAACATGCAGTGCAGCATGTTGGCCTGATTATCTGGAGGAATCAACCTGCTGTGGAGCCACAGTGTTGGAAATGGAAGACCTTTGGTGTCCCCTGTCACTACTACAGATAAGAGCAGTTTGTTTCACATGTTCAGTCAGTGCTGCAAGTTCACATTTCCAAACTGTAGTAAAGTAAAAGCATCCAAAAATTGTGGGGTGAATCATGACTAAGAATCTTTGAAACTTTTCTTTCCAGGATGACTGAAACTGGATTTTTATCCCAGACTTCAGTTTTCATTATGTAATGTGGACATTTTTTTAGATTTTCTAATTAGTTGTTGCGTCCAAATGTAAGTTTGGCTTTGATGTCGATGGCAAATCTTGACTAGACAAATGCAGCTATCACTTGGTTGCTGCCAATGAAATTGTATTGATGTTATTTTTATAAGCAGGTAGATAAAAATAGGATCACACAGTGTAGGATGAAGGAGGGTTTTTTTGTAAAGACTAGGTCAACTCTGCGTAAATGTGTAAGAAATGGTGGTGACATATACATACAAAGCTGACGTTGAAAGCATTTACAGGTCAAATACATTGTTTACTGAAAAGTAGACAGTGGTACAGTTCGTTGGAAAGCTAAGCATTCTTATTCTTATTTAATTTAAGACTTGAGTACTGACAACTTTTGGCTACTTTTCTATGCTTAGCTTAAAGGTGTGCATTTCTCCCTAGTTTTGTAGGATTCGATTTTTCAGTGCTTAGATCCCACAGTTAG